ATTATGTCATTTATCTTCATAAATAATATCGCTTTAAATTGTGCAGCTTTCAAATTCTCATTCACATGCATGCAAATTCCAAAATCAGTCGCTGCACACATTTTCTTTTCCATAATTTACTTCAAAGATAGTGTATTGTCCATTTTAAATACAAAATGCTACATTAAATATACATATTAGTCTTTAATACAAATAGACTCAGGCGGCTGCAGCGTTTAAGACAATTCTTAGAAGTTACATCCTCTTGATTAACAATTCAGAAACTAAGATTTTGAGGATAAGCATTTACTCAGAAAATATTGTCCTCGGATTTGTTTTTTTTTTTTGTTTGTTTGTTTTTCTTAATCAGAATGCGTCTTCTTTTGCTTCTTCTTTAAGCAACCACAAATAATAAATACATGTCCGTGTGATTGGCGATGAATCCGGTATTAAATGTTTGACATACCTTTCTTTAGCTCATAAGGTGAGTCTTTACAAAGATCTACCTGTGTTTGGCTTCTTACTTTGCTCTCTCTTACCAGAGCCTCGGCTCTGTTTAAAACAGTCTGGCTTAATCCATTGAAATGTGCCGTTGAGCTGGTGTTGGTGCCGTGGCTGCTGTGGAGGTGTCCGAAAGTGCTATAGTTCGTGTAACCCGGGTAAAAAGGGGACGTGTAGTAAATAGGCCGAGAAAGGACAGTGTTATTAGGGAGAGGGCACTGAGGGGAGGAACGGCTCGGCGAGGCCGCACTGGCTATGACTGTGCTTTGACCCAGTCCTGCGGCCTGTGGAGCCTCACTGCTCCCTTTGCACCTGTCCGAAGACGTGGCGATCTCGGCCAGAGACCAGAGTTTGGGTTTGGGCGCCGAAGGGGGAGAATGAATAACAGACGTTACGTTGCTGTTAACCGTGCTCGCGGCGTGGCCCGGTTCTGTGGGCTTTTCTTGCGTAATGAGATCACTCCCTCTCTGTAGGACGGGGGGAGAGGAGGTGGTTGGTTTCGCTTGCTCTGCGAGCAAATCCGTCCGCTCCTCTGTGTCTTTTAATTCCGAGTCTGTCAAAGGTGGATCAAGATCTTTAGCATGAGTCTCGTCTTTAAATCTGTCGCATGGTATCTCCCCAGGGTTGATGAGTTTATGATCTGAAAGAAAAAAAAAAAAGAAAAAAAGATTTGATTAAACAAAACTGGTCGACATTAATATTTTTTTTACGATGAGACAAATATCACATCGTTATTTTAAACTGTTGTATAGTTTTACTGTTTTAAAAAAAATCTCATTCAATTCAGTGTACCCATTTCTGTGCAAAGTTGTTTAATATTCAACATGCATATAATAATAATAATAATAATAATACTTATGATTATTATTATTACTACTATTAATATTATTAAAAATAGGCTGTTGTTATTATAGCTATAAATGAGATGCCGTGCGCCAGCTGTGCCCTTATTATGCAGCTCGAGATAAATGATGTGCAAAACACCATACGTCACCAGCAATTCTCAGTCCATAAGAAGTCAAATTAGAGGAGTTCAAGGTGATCATTATTTAAAGCAATTCTCCCATTATAAATAATATACCACCATTAACCAGCAATCAATTTTGCGCCCGGAGCGGAAACGACTGCGATGAAAAATTGATGATTTTTCCACAGACCTGCCTCTGTGTCTGTGGAGTCTCCCTTGTCCGTGGGCTTGTTTGGCTCGTCGTCGTCGTTTTTCTCTAGATCAATGTTTTCGTCCTCTTCCTCATCCTCGCTCCGGTTCCGTGGGGTCCAGGTCATCTTGTTCTCCTTCTTTAGCCTCCGCCTGGCATTGGCGAACCAGGTGGACACTTGAGTGAGGGTCATCTTAGTGATGATGGCCAGCATGATCTTTTCGCCTTTGGTGGGGTACGGGTTTTTCCGGTGCTCGCTAAGCCAAGCTTTCAAAGTGGCTGTGGCGTCCCGGGTAGCATTCTTGCGGTAAGCTGGGTCTCCATACGGGTACGAGCCTAAGGGAGCAGCGTAAGGATGATAGCCTATAGATCCGGCCATGCCTGTTGTGTGGTCATACGGGGAGCTCTGCAAAGAGCCAAATCAACTGTTTTATTTGCAAAATATCACTTCTTATCACACCTGCGCACAATGAAGGATCGGTTACAGATCTCTTACGCATACACACCATAAACAAACACGCACACACATGCATGCAACAAACACACTTTAAATCTAATTAATCAAAATAGTAAAGCGCAAGGCCGCAGGGCCACGTATTCTCTATTTGTTTTTGTTTTTTTTTGTTTTGTTGTTTTTGTTTTGTTTTTTTGTTGTTGCCTCATTTCCTCCAGCAGGAAAGATTGTGAAATGCAATTTCACAACGTTCTCAAAATCCCCCCTCTTTGTTAGCGATCATAAATCTTTATTCTTTTTGACAATGTTTTTTTTTTTTTCTCCTCTCAGATTAGCCAGCTAATTAGAAGTTGCTGCGTTATATGTTGGGTCATCTGTCAGTGTTGTTGACCAGAGCTGACCTACGTGCACGCAATTCACATTTAAATAGCCAGTATAAACTTGTGTCCTTTTAAGTAGCCTATTTGACTAAACACACGGTTAAGACAAATGAGCAGCAACTGATAATGTATTCCCTTTGATACCAATAATATTGTTTGGCTGCTGCCCACAGAACCGAGGAAATCGTGTTGTCACAAATGAACACAATAATATAATAAAATAAAATAAATAATAAAACAATACGTGGAATTATGTATGTTTTTTTTTCCTGTTTGCATTTATTAAATTGGGAATTAACTGCTTTAAAATATCAGTCTATGTGTTGTAACGTTTATTTTAGAACAATTTCTGTTTGTTTTAAAGTGTTGCAGTGTGTATTATTTAAAGTGTCACGAAACCTAACCAAATTCCGCGAATGCATATTTGATAGTTAAAACCGCAAATCTTGCGCAAATGATTACATTGCGTCTCATCCTTGCAACACAATATGCATTACAACGAAGCATAACAATGTATCACTCCAACTTTTTAAAAGTAGAAAAAAACACTGGACCGTGAATAAAGCGCACTCACCACATAAGAAGTGAAAGTGGCGGCGGCGGCCGCATCAGCACTGTACGGGAGATGGGAATTGTAGCCTGGCGAGGCGCTGGTGAACGCTGTAGATCCGGCATAGGGAGCGAAAGCTGAGCCAGAGGAAGATCTCCCTAGCTCGTCTGTCCGGGGTCCTGATATCACGCTTGCACTGTAGGCAGGACAGGAATAGAGTGCCAAAGAGGCGGACGGCTGATACAAGTAGCCCTGAGGGTACGCCATGGTGAAGATCCAAATATAAGCTTCTCACTTGAGTTCTTCTCCCTCAAACTCTCACGCGCTCTCCGCGCTCGCTCATAGAGTTCCGAGTAAACAGACCTCCGTCCCGTCCTCCTCACGTTGATAGCAGTGATGGGAATTAAAGAGGACGACGAATGCATAGACTTCACACTCGTTAATCAGTCGTTGTCAGACTCACACGCGGATTTTCGAGGCGCTCTCTCACCCTCTGCGCGCGCTGTGACTCTCATGCCGAGCGCGCGGGACAAGTTTTTTGCTCTCGGATGGGGCTTTGCTTCGGAGAGTGTCCTGCCAGGATGCTAAGTTGGAAATTGAGGATTCTGACGCCTACTATGAGCCTCTCGCTCCTCCTCTCGGGGTGTAGTCATCGAAGGAAAGGCAAGCTAGAGCTGGGTTACAGCAACCTGAATCGATTCTCTCTCTCTCTCTCTCTCTCTCTCTCTCTCTCTCTCTCTCTCTCTCTCTCTCTCTCTCTCTCTCTCTCTCTCTCTCTCTCTCTCTCTCTACATTCGTACCCTGGCACTCACTAACAATCTCCCCCGCTATCCTCATATTTTTGTCTCTAACAAGCCTCATTGCCTTAGACTGAGCAGCTACAGCCCCTGGATGGCGGTCTCGTGCGAGCCAGTACATCACATCACCTTCAACTTTCATCATTTTCTAAAAACACGAAGCCTTCATTTTCACACATGATTAATAACCAATGGACTGTTATCTTTCTGGGACGGCTTGGTAAATACGACGGGAGATGCTACAACTGTTTGCAGTTATTTATGCTCCTTGGTTTTGTGTTCTTGGCGCTTATTTTACGCCTATTTTTTTTTTTTTAATACTACGCAACAGTCGGCGATCCATCGTGCCTTAAGTCAGTTGAACATGGACCTGCATTTGGGGGAGATTGTCTATATTATTGCCTATATATTAAATTTACGGCTTGGAAAAAATGTACACAAATAGGCTACTTTTCGAAAAAGCCATTTTCCAGAAACAATGCGACGAATGTGAGTGCGCGCTTATCAAATCTCAGTGGTAGAAAGTGAAGAAGTAACTTTTGACAGGTGTTAACTGATTTGTCCGCTGACAGTTTTCGCCTTAGATCCTGGAACAAACCAGATCTTCTTCTCCTTTACACCAAAGCCCCAAGCGCAGACAGATTAAGACCATATGAACCACGGCAAATCCACCACGACCAGGGGCTCTAAGCCCTTTTGATTCAAACAGATATATTCCTCTGTGGCGGAGGATATCCTCATGTATTTTGTTCTATTTGCTCGCAGACTGTATTGTGTGCGTCTAGCATACTAAAAATGGAGATGCATATCAATTTAAGTAAATAAATATAGTCTAAATGCATTAAGATTAAACGGATTTTATTTTTTATTTAGCTACTAGCTTACTAATCTTCACGATACATACTAATTAGATTAATAATAGGCTACTAAATTTCTACTACAAGTAGAAATCAATAGCCTAATAAAAGGTAAGCTAAATGTAATCAGTGTTCATCATAATTTAATGTAATAATTTAAGTGGCATAGACCAACATAAGACAATATAAGATAATTTAAAATATACTAATCTAAAGAATTTCCCTTACGCTTTTACAGACTGCTGGTGAACTAATACATAGGCCTAGATCCGATGTTTATTATTAATAGGCTACAAAAAAAAAAAAAAAAAACAAACAAAAACAAACAAAAACATAAGTGGGGCTGAGGAACTTCACGCAGGAGTCTGATTTGGCTCACTTGTTAAAGTCTCTCTGAGCCGAAAGGGATCGCTGTAGGCGCTGCTACAGAGAATGTGCATGAGGTCACGTGTTACTGGAGTAAAGAATGATGACGCTCAAACTCAGTAGACCAATGCAAAGTTCAAACCAAAACAATCATAAGACATACGAAGTTGTCGATTGTGATAGTGAAGATGTTTTTATTATTTCTGCACCACCGTGAGTGTTGGCTATAAATACACAAAATAGAATTGAGGAACATGAACCAGAATTATAACAGCCTGATAGTTTACGAGTAGCCTAACTTATTTCGTTCCATGTCAATCCATGAGAAAAAAAAGATTAAAAAAAATAGCCATAGCTAGGCTACACGTGTTTTTTTTTATCGTTTTACATATTGAATATATTGCATATAACACAAAAAAGCATATGCCATATAAAATTCTTAACTTATTATTATTAGCCTATTATTGTTATTGTTTTTTGATGAAACATGGTGGAAGTGACCATTAGTCAGCTTTAAATAGCGTACTAGTTTCCAAAGGATACCCGTGGCATTTAAATGACGTCAATATTCATTGATAGAGTATTATCGGCAGTAATGAGTTCCTCTTCACCAATAGGATTCGATAAGCAGTCTATTTAGCCATAGTGGAGGGGTGAATGAAAGAAAGCATGGAAAGAGAAATGCAGCAGTCACATTCTTCACGCGCTGGCAGAAAGGTAGGAAACTGCTTAACTTAAATTACATTCTTTATGTAATAGTCTAATCAAAGCAGTCATGTAGGTTGACGAAAAAAAAGCACTTTTAAAGATAATGTTTTAGCAAAGGGGGTCTTGTATTTAAATAGTTCGTGCCTTATTTTCCCGAAATGCTCCCGTGAACTCCCAGACTGGACGGCAAGGGGAGGTGTAGGCTTATGTTAGGGTATGTGCTCTCACTGATGTATCAGTTTTGCTTGTTTTATGACGGACGCTTATGTCTCCAATTATGCATGTTTGTAACGAGGCGTGCAGATATGCAAGTCTGAATCTTTGCACAGTAATGCAATTGTCTGTCAAACGAAATAGGCACAACCAAAAAAAAAAAAAAAATAAAATAAAATAAAAAAATAGGGGTAGGGGGTGATATTTCAAGTGGTGCTTTTTCACCAAAATGCCTGGGGGAAACGACGTAATTTAATTTGGATTTAGAAACTATTATTAGAAAGCATTATCTATTGTAGCAGACTAATTGCTTCTCGCGTTCGCGCGCAGAATGCGCTGGTTAAACAAAGTTAGTTAACGTGAAGTGCATGACAGGTTTCCTCGAGGCACAAGGTTAGGCGTGTCTCTCCCGAAAGCAATGGGCAGCCGGTAACGTGTGTCCCCCTCAAACGGATTTTAGCCACTTCAAATCTGCCTTAAACCGATTAGTTGACGCCAAATATTCTTTGATGTATTAGCTAAGGGGTTTTGCCACTTGGAAGCCAATTGAAATTCTAAACAGTCCGCCGCTAATGCTTTGGGGAGATCCGTGGCGAATAATGGATGTGATTTATTTTTGACCTTGCCATTTTTATGAAATGATTAAACACATGTGCACAAGTAAACCCTATCCACCAAGCAGCACTGCAACATAATAATAATTATAATAATATTGCGTATTATTATTATTATTATTATTATTGTAATACAGCTAAAAACATTTTTATATTTATACATTTTATAATTGTATTCATATATATAATTTTAACACATTTGACACAACAATTTGAAAGGAAAGAAAAAAATAGACTATTTGATTCATCATTCATGTTTTTATTTTAGAAAGTTTGCGCTTTTTTGATGCGTAAACAACTTAATTCTTACCTGTCGACTTGAGTGCAAGTTTTCACTCATAACAATGTAGCTTGTAGTGGAGCACTTCTAACCATGATCCAAATATCTATGTAAGTAGGGCACAAGATCAAAAGGGTCAAGGCTGATCCTTTAAAAGAGCAATCTAAATCTGTCAGTTCTCTATAGTTTTGCCGAAAACCTTTTATTGAAACCACCAGATTGTTGATCCAGGAGCTCATTTATTTTAAACATGATTACCCTGGTATTTTTTTCTGCCCCGTGGAACAGGTGTGAAAATACCATGAGGGAGTTCTAGCAGATTTAATCGACTTTCTGATTCTCATCATGATAGCTTTTACCACCCCAGTCAATTTTAAAGTGTTCATATGGCAGAGATAGACTGGGTCCCCGGGTCCCCCGGCTGTGGCTCCATATTCCCGGAAGTCTTCCTTGGAGGCCCCTGGTGACTGACAGGCCGTTAGCCAGGCTAAACCATGTGATGATGAGCTTTTTATGAGAATGGATTTAGAATTGAGAGATTTCAGACAAAGATTGTGTGCATTTTTCTCTCTCGTTCTTTCTTTCTCTCATCTCCCTCCCCCGTCTCTCTCTCTCTCTCTCTCTCTCTCTCTCTCTCTCCCCGCCAGCCGGCTAGATTATGATTGATTTGGTTGAAATGGATTGTAGGAAGCAGACATTGATTTTTCAATGACTTCTCACCAAAAATATTTAAAGTTGAATCCAGAATGTAGAAATCTCAGTATCCAACATTCTCTCTCCTCACTGTGTCATTCTCTGCTCTGGAGCGAGAAAGCACCGTAATGCAGTCTAGTCAACGATGAGACAAATTACCTGTAATGTTATTTTGAAATGAGTCAGTAAGCTGGGGGACTAAAGGAGTATTGATTGAGCCTAATGAGGATTGAGTGTAAGGAAAACAACCTTTTCAGGGTTTTGCCGACGTATCTCTTATCAGCACACAACAATTTAATGCACTCTCTACAGCAGTACTAACTGCAGATGCCTGTGTCTTGTATACGGCTCATTTGCTGTCTTGTAATATTAAATCAGACACCATAAGCCTGTATGTGCACACATGTAAACACTGTTATGATCAAATGGTTGCAGGAAAGCATTGTTAATAGAAACTCATCTGACAACATATTTTGTGAGTGGATGAAAGAGTCTTTTGGCATAGGTGCATATGAAGAGTTCAGATGCAAAAGCCTCTAAGTGCCATTTGAAATTTTCTTCTTTAATGATGATTTTTATCACACTTGTATATTTAAGTTCAGTAATTTCACTTAAATAACAATTAATAGGTAATTATCATTGCCATTTAAGTGAAATCACTGAACTTAAATATACAAGCTTGATAAAAATGATCATTCTAGAAGAAAATTTCAAATGGCACTTAGAGGCTTTTGCATCTGAACTCTTCATATTTTAATATAACTTTTAAGTTATGATATACAAAGAGTTACACAGCAGCTGTTTTACTCAAGGACTGGCATTGCAGCTATTGACACAGATCTGAAATGAGTGGCAGAATTGAATTAGCATTGTGCAATGACAGAATGAACCCTGTCATGGATGTTAGCAACTTCTAAATATGATGTAAAGCAATCTTGGAAGATCTTGATTTATGCATAATTTTACAGGGTCTTTACATTGACAAACTTTAATACTATTTGTTGATTTATTGATTTTAAGTAGGATTTTTTAATGATCATACAATACTTTTACATGTCTTTTTGTCTCTGAACTCATTGTATTAAAATATAATTAAATGGTGTATACAGCCAACAGTATTATAGCCACAAATACAGGTAAACATGCTTGGAATGGTGTTTATAATTTATTCCTGTACAACTGAAAACTACATACCTAAATATGTGCCATTTCTGGTGAATTCTACAGGTTTGATTCATATTAAAATAGTATTTTAAAGGTAGTATTTTAAAGATTCGTCCACACTAGAGGTTTACATACAGTTAATCAACTGCGGACAATGTATGTTGTTTTTGTATATTATATTATTTACAAGGCACAGTCTTTCTTAAATGTCTCACTGAGACTTCAATTCTTAGCAGTCTGTCAAAATGCAGCAGTCTGCCCTTTAATTGTTGTGAGAAACAAGCGGTCACAGTTGTTTTCTATATATATTTATTTCTAAACCGCTTTGGCTTTTTTATTCATTCCGTTACTGTTAGATGTTAGCTAAAATGCTACTTTATTTATTTATTTTTTATGTGGTTTCACAATATCTAAATGTACCATAAACTTTAAAAATGGAAGGTCATTGAGAAAATGTTTGAGAAATGTTTACCTGGAGTGTTTTTTACTGTAGTCCCAAACTGCTTTGTCACACTCTTTAATCTACACATCATTCTCTTTTTAAGTGAAGCTCTCTTGCCATCCCATTGGTCAGTGCTGTGCCACGCCCACTGTCCATCCAGACAGTTGGTTCCCGGGCCTGAGTCGTTTAGAGGCCTCCGACTGCAGGTAATCAGCTGTTTAATTCTTAGGAGAGCTTGTGTTCTGCTCTCCTCTTCCGTGAGCAGCGGCGTGTTGTTGTTTTGTTTTCTCTGAGCAGTTCTTTGATGCCATATCCTCTTACAGTTGCTCAATCCCAGCAGCCATGTTTCATAAACATCCAACGGAAAACATCCTCTGCATTTGAAATGTAGATGGCTTTCTCTGCCTGCCTCTCTGCATACCGCACTTGCCCTCTCACATTTTCTCTCCATTGCTTTCTCGCAGCAGAGGTGTTGAGTTTCTCTTCTCTGCCTTTGATACGTTCGAACAGCTACCCGATCAAGCCTCAGCGTTTTGGGTGTCAGGTGTAATCTGTGGCAACAACAATGTGAGCGAGGCCTCATTCCCCATTTGCTCCTCATTAGGATGATATCACTGAGGTGCCGGATCCAAATGAGCTGTTTTGTTATGCTGCGATAGCACATGATACAGCCTCTCGTAATATATCAGCGAAGCTCAGGAGAATGCTGACCAGTATTATATACATTCTTATGGAGTTGTTATTTTGAATAATTGCTTTATTAAAGCTATAATCATTGAATAGTAATTATATAGAAATCATAATGAAATGTATGTTAAATGTTAAAGGAGCACAGCCTAAGAAATTGAAATTCTCCATGGACGTTTCCTAGCGTCTGTTTCTCTACACCTGGCCAGGTTTGAGTGCATTTAAGGTATCTGTCCATATGCCTCTGAGGTACTTCGCCGTTGTGTTTGTGTGAGTCCATTTCCCAATCGTAGCAGTCAAGCATTTGACTTTTGTTGCTTGGGGCCCAGGCACTATTTGCTGATGATCTGTTTGCATAACCCTTTTCCTTGCCTGTCTTCTCCCTCAGGGAGGATGAATTTTAGTGTGACACACTGGTATCTGCGGGTGTGCTCACCTTTTATTTCCCATAAGCATCTGTAGCCCAGAGAAATGTGGTTCCACCCTCGCAATAAAAATATAGCAGTGAGATCAAAGAGCCACTCGTCTCACCTTTGCTCACTCTCTTGTCCCATCTCTACAAAACCAGGAAGATGTTAACAGAGCTCCACTGTTGCTCATATTAGAAGAGATAGTTCTCCTAGAAAGCAACATTCTGTCATTATTTAAGGCCTGTTTACACCAATGACGACTAATAACGATAAATATATAGTTCTAAAAATCGCTCTAAACATAAAAGAGTCCAGCATATATATATAATATATATAATATTTGTTTTAATCTATAGAATGAATGTCAAATGGATCAAAAAAAAAAAGTGTTCCGTAAGAGAAAGTGAGTCATACAGGTTCAGAAAACTCGAGGTGAGAAAATGAATGATTTTTCATTTTTAGGTTTTAAAGTATAGGCATCTCAATTCTTTGACTGTGCTAAAAAAAATAGTAATTCCAGAATCTTTTTTTAAGGGCATCAGTCTGTTTTATAATTGTTCATGTCCATGAGCAATACTGTTATTTTTAGTGTTATAATAATTAAGCACAGGAACCCACTATCAAAACATTGCTTGTCGTCTCAGACATATTTGTTTCCCTGTTAATGAAGGCAAAGCAGCAATGTGTGTGCAGACTGTGTAACCCGTGAAGTGTGTCTCTATGCAGATGAGATGCTCTTCAGACAACATCAGTGTGTGAGCAGCACACCGTGTAATGACTGTGGCAGAAGCCTCAGTTCTCATAGCTTAACATGGCGCACTCAGCACGCAGCTATATTTGCCAACGCTAGAAGAATCTGTTGAAAAGCAGGGTCTTTTTCTGAATATTTTGAGTGAGGGCTAAGGAAAGTTAAGAGGGTCGTCCATGCGGGAGACAGTAGAGGTGCGCAGAGGTGAAGGCTGTGCTTCCGTCCTTGAGGGAGCCCATTTAAAAAGCGCTTTGAAAGTGAAGCTAGACAGCACCAGGAGTCATCTCGCTGACTGGTGCTGTGAGCGAGAGAGTGCAGAGGAAGAGAGAAAGATTGAGGTGCTTGGGAGGGATGGCTTTCCACATGAAACATCTTGTGTTTTCATAGGCCGAATTTACTGTTGTAAATATTCACCGAATGCTCCTTTTCCTTACCTTTCATTCTCCGTGTTCCTTTTGTGTGTGCTTTTCTTTCTCTCACACAGGTCCTGATGGAGAGAGAGGGAGTGGGAGGGAGACAGAGCTAGAGAGAGAGAGAGAGAGAGAGAGAGAGAGAGAGAGCAAGGGAAAACCCATAATTCTGTAATGCCCATTAGCGAGATTTCACGCACTCTCTCTGATCTGACTCACTGACAGAAGCCTCTAAGAGACTATAATGAGAATGTTTGGCAGGAGGATTCTGGATGTGTGTGTTGTATCAGTGTCTAGGTGAATGCAGTTTTTATGTGCACCACTCATCAGCTGTGACAGAAAATATTTTATATGATTCAAGCTCCCACACACATTCCCCTCACACATTATTATTCTTTGACATTTCTCTTTGTGCGTTTTTTCAAAATTCAAACACATTAAGGTCAAAATCTTTTAGCTAATTTTTAATTAGCTAATTTTAAAATCTATAAGCTAATATAAGATGTTTTTTCATTATATTTGATAATTGGAAAATATGAAAAAATAATATTATTAATGAAATATATTCACTACTATTTTGCCCAAGTAAATTAACATAATTTTAAATGCAACATGGAAATTTAGGAATCACAACAATGCAATGTACACTATGAAAAGTATAATTATTTTGATATTTGCTGAAGATTACATCTAATCGTGTTAATAAATTATTTGAGTTTTTAGAAATAGATGATGACAAAGGTAATCAAAATATTAAAATAGCTTGACATGAGCATGAGGCATGCGCAAATAAACATCCAATAAATATCAACCCCAAAAGAGTTGATTTACTCTAGTGTGCTTATAGGATGACAACTAAAAGGAATCAAATTGACTGTGAATAGCTCTAGACGAACCTATTATACTCATTAACATTTTGAACATGTTTAAACCCTGCATCAGATTGCTGTCAAAGTGACATGTCTGTATTTATAATGAAATATTTACAGTCTACTCCGTTAATTCCTTAAGTGGCTAATAGTGGCAAAAAAATTGACTAAAAACACGCATCCGCTGCTTTCTCCCTCTCTCTCACACGCTCTCTCGTTTTATTTTACACAAATTAGCTTTAGTCCTGGAGGGCAAAATGACAAGAGGTTACTGGGAGACTATGTGTTTAATTAATTGAAAAATGCTCAAATTGCTTTTACAGTTGTTATTGGAGGTGAAAAAATGGAATCCATGTTGCCAGTACTCAGGCGTAATTAGCTCCTGAGGGAGTTGGATATTTAGCATTAGCAATGTTGCTGCACTTAGGACACAAATTTCTATTTTGATAATGAAGGGCCGGGGCTGTCGTTGAGGACAGCTGTAGTTTGAGGGGGTGGGGGTGTTTGGAGGTCCTGTGCAAAAGAGAGAGACACCCTGTCTGCTCTCCCTCACTCTCCTCTCTCTCTTCTTGCTGTGTGTATGTGTCTGTGAAATGGCAGCAAGGGCTCCCAGGGGCCACACATTACCCAAAGTATTTAAGTTTCCAATTAAATTGAGAACCAGCTACCACTGCAACAAGCTTGGAATGAGCCAATGAGATTCCACAGTCATCTTAGGAAAGCTGTGGCCTATAGAAGAGGCGGAAAGGTAGAAGGATGGGGGTAACATAGGAGAAAATCCTTTGTTTATTCAGACTTTAACTTTATTTAGACTATTTTTTTTTCCAGCACAGATATGGTTGGGAGGGAGAGGAGGCAAGAGGGAGTGTGAAGAGAAAGAGAGAGAATACAAGACTTTAATGATCTGCTGTGGAAAATCAGTGTGGAGTCCTTGGAGACTGCTGGGCTAGTTTGAAGCAGCATGGTCTCATTTGGTTTGGACTGAGTGTGGCAGTCCTACTGAGCTCTTACCATGCTGTCTAAATGCCTGCCTACCGCCTCTTACTGCCTGTGTGTGTGTGTGTGTGTGTGTGAGGAGACATGTTATGTGGATTGCATACAGGACGTGTGAAAGAATAAGTCTTCTCTGTTAACTTCTGCTGTTAAACCATACTAATTTCCACCTTAGTCAATTACACATTCCCTATGCGTCCTAATAGTCATTGCTCTCTCTATATACGTTTGACAGCAAAGAACGTGCTCATACAATCTTTGCCATTTCATTTATTTTTGTTGTGCTAAACTAACAAAATGACAAAACATTATGGTACAAAAATCTACAAAAACAGCACTTCAGTGTTGCTTCAGTGTCTTCAGTTTTATTCAATACAGGTGAAGCAAGAATTACACAATACACTACTAAGCATACATATTGTAGCAAATACAATTTGAGACAATTTTTTCCGGCGTTTTTCCTCTTTGTCGCCATCTCTGTTCGAAATCTGCAATTGCAGCCATTCACGGAATCATCAACTTTGCGCGAGTTGTACTTCAACACCCTCGACATGGCACAGCGTGGATGAACACGATGTTTGAGGAGACTGTGCAGCTGTCAGTCACCGCGCCAGTGTGGATACTGGCACTCACAATCACGGATTATTATTCTATGACCAACATAATAATTTTCTCCGGAAAATGTAATCTTAACTAGAAAGAAACATCCACTTTTGTTCTGGTTCTGACATTGCAGTAAATTGCGCTGATTAAATCTAACAATCACTTAGAAGTTATCATATCATGCAAAACCATGCAAATTATACTTTGTTCTCAATTTGTTAATGTTAACAAAGTAAACAAGCGTTGCGTGACTACATGTAAAGTCTTGGGAAAATTCTTTTATCATGTGCTTAATTATTGTGTGTGTGTGTGTACATGTTTTTCTATCCCGGTGGGGACTTAAACCTGAATGCACACAGACTCATGGAGACTTGTGTCACTGTGGGGACCTAAATTGAGGTCCCCATGAGTAAACATACTTATAAATACAGAATTTATAAGATTTTTTTTTTTTACGTAAACGTAAAAATGCAGAATGTTCCCTGTGATGGGCAGGTTTAGGGATCGGGACAATGTAAAAGGATAAAATACAGTTTGTACAGTATTAAAACAATTACGTTTATGGAGAGTCCTCGCAAAGATAGTAAACCAGACGTGTGTTTGTGTGTATATATGTATACACACACACACACACACACACACATATATATATATATAATGTTAGTAAGAATAGTATAGGAAATAGAGGGGAAAAAGTTTTTTTTTTTTTTTTTTTTTTTTTTTTTTTGGATATGAATGTTGATAGCCAATGTACGGACATTATGTATGGACAAATTAAAATAAACACTGAAACAAACATTTCTCAAAATATCATCTTTTGTTTTCCACAAAAGAAAGTAAGTCATACAGTTCTGGAATGTAAATAATGAACGGATTTTCATCTTTATGAACTATCCTTTTAATGGGGAAAATATAGTTAAATGACTGTCCTTTTACATCCTAGACACCATGCCCATTGTACAGAAAATATGCTAATTGGGGCAATGGGAACTGAGACATGGGGTTATTTAATTTCCCAGGGTGCATTGGGCTTAGCAGAGATGACAGAGAGGCTGAGGCAGAGTGTAACGGGAGCTTCACCGCTGCAGCCCTGCTCTGGGCTTCCAACCGACAGTGGAGCACCGTGAGAAAGAGAGACGGAGAGAGAGAGAAACAGAAGGAAAGTAGACCTCAGAGCTGCGACTCTTGTTCTGTAAAGCGCACATCATTAAATGATATAATGTTACTGTCAGTGTGTCATGCAATAGTGTCAACGAAAAAACTTTACAAGACTGGTGCCAAAAATTAAGAGATTGAGAGCGAGAGACAAACAGGACCTTGCCAATCATTCATCATTGTCTCACTTCCTCTCTCTCCTCTCTTCACAGACTCGCTCTTTTTATGTGCTCTACCCAGAATTCCTTGTGACATTTGTTGTGTGGAGATTACTCACTGGCCCGTAGCCTAGTGTAGCACAACAGTGATGGTTTTAAAGACACCGAGTTGGAGCTGTCCCAGCCTCGACACCTCACCCACAAACTGTGCCTCCTGTCAACCCCCACGGGCACCTATTGTGGTGAATCAGTGACCGTGCCATTCCTCCTTTCTGCTCTTCACCAACAAATGATAAACTAAGTGGGGAAAAAAAGACAGAATGGAATGAAGAAGAAAAGAAGATCCAGAGCATGTTGCCTTTTGGCTGGAGTCGTTCAAGACAATGCAAGTGCTGGACCATCATTTTCAAATGCACTGAACAAATGCAATAGAGTACTGACAGGTTTCATCAGACAAACAATTCATTATTGTAATTTTTTGCCACACCCTGGTTTATATGGAAAACGAATGTTTCAATAGAAGAGCAATATAACATAATAATACCTAAATATTATAAAATAGATATGGCATACAACAATTAATACACAAATTATAAAAAAATAAAACTTGATTTTTAAATATATATATATATATATATATATATATATATATATATTGGTATAATACTGTAGATATGTTGCCGGATTGTTTTTTTTTTTGTTAGTTTTTTTCAGCTTGTTTTTCAGAAGACCAATGACAGACCAGCAAATAATAAAAAATAAATAAAACAGATAAAACCAAGAATAGGTCTTGTTTGAACGGCTTAGTATACGTCATCTGCATAAGGATTGATGATTTGCACTGTAATCCAGTGATAAACTCATGGATACGGAAGGATATGGAAGTAAAATATGAAAATATTTTTATATTATTTTCAATCACTTTTGCCATTCAGAATAAAGAAAGAAGCAGTTAAATGAGTTTACCGTTTCTCATCTGGTCTAAATCTGTTGTAAACCTGTGGGTGTCTTGGGTGGTCTTGATCGTTTACAGTAAAGTGAGGTTATTTTGTGTGTTTGCTGAATAAATGACCAAGCACAGCTGTTTTAGCACTTAGCTAATTTTTGTTCCGGACTGTGAGTGTGTTTGCATGGGTGCGTATGTGGTTGTGCGTTTGTTAACTCTTGACCTGCTCACACTGATCGAATAGCTGAAACAATACTTTGCCTCTGTCTCACACGTTGAATGCAAAGGTCACCAAAAGTAAATAGATTTAACATATAAAAACAATTATAGATAAATCTCAGATGCACTTAAAAAAATCACAAGGAGCAGTTCTTTCAAGCAGCACATGAGAAAAAAGAATTGTTCTGTTAGTGTGTTTTTTGTGTGTTCATTTACATTATGCATTTAGTCTTGTTTTGAATGAAGTGTGTCTGTTTTTTGTTGTTTTTTTTTTCTCTGTTTGTCCTGAGTAGTATCCATTAAGCAGCTGATTGACAGCTCCGCCTTTCTTAATTGGATTACATGGCACTGATCGCATGTTTAAAACAATGGCTGCGTCTAAAATCAAGCCCGATCTCATAAAAGTTCATATCTATAGCACGAATGTCATTTCTCGTGCCATTTATATGCCAAAAATAGTTTTTGCTTGTATATGGCACGCGTTTTTTGCATGCATATGATACGCACTTTATGGCGTATAATACGCACAAACTCCCCGCTCCCCTCCCCCCTAAACCTACCCAAGGGGTTTTCAGTGCGTAGCATATGCACACGAAAAACATTTGTGCGTAAAAAATGCCACGAGAAATGACATTCGTGGTATAAGTACGCACTTTCAGGAGACTGTTGCTAAAATCACATACTTTCATACTGTATAGTGACAAAAGAAGCATGCAGGCCTCAAAAAAGAGTTGGCAAAAAGTACCCAAATGACCTACTACTTCCAACAAAAATCTGAAGTGTGTATACAGTGGACAATTTACTATCCCATGAGGCTTTGGGAGAGGATGTGTGAATAGCTGTAAAGCGATGCAACTGATGCTGGTTGGTCACATGATAATGACAGTATGGTTAATGTAGTATGTCCTGATTCAATTCATACTACACACACTCCAACTATATAGAACGTGTTTTTTTTATTATTTTTTTTAGCAGTCGTGATACTTCAAAATATTCAAAATAAGTATCTACTCGAGAATAAGCGACCTCGGATGCTCTTCCAAAACGAGCTGCTGTGGCTCTGGGCTGGTCACACCCATCTCCTCACCTGCCGCCAGACCAACAATATTAATGTTATATGATTATATGTTTTTAAGCAGTGTTTAATTAGAAATGTCTTTGTAGGGGTGACACATTTTCTTTTCTGTGATAACATTCACTCTGTTTTTGATAGTGTAGTTAGGCTAAGGGAATTAAGTCTTTTTTTAATTGTCTATTTTGTTAGTTATTTTAAGCCGTGGGTCACCCCGAAGTCTATACACACTCTAGTCTTTTGTTTTGTTACTCTGAAACTTTATAGCCCTTTCAACATCTTAATAAAATGTTTATCTGTGCTATTTTTGTTTGGGGATTTACTTTCTTCTTGGTCTGACGACTGGACAGAGCATAATGTTTGAATTTGTTTTTCTGTTTATTTATTGCAACTTAACCCTAGATGGTTGTAATAGTGAACACTTGTCATTGTTTGGCAAGGGTATGGCCTGGCAGCGAGGACTGGGGGATGGGGACGTGTATCTGTTGTCTCTGTGTTAAAAACACAGAGACTGTGTGTGTGTGTTGCTGCTAGACCAAGTGAGAGAAGCAGATGGCTAAAAAACAGATTTGTGTTGGGTAGTTACTTCAGGTGAAAGTGAAACACTTGATGGGGAGAAATTGTGATCACAAATCTGAGTGACAGACAATACCTGCTGTAAAATTCTCTCACATCTCAGCTGCTTTGTATTCATGGCTCCCATCTACTGTGTGACCCTCTCTCTCTCTCTTTCCGCATCCTCTCAACTCTCTCGATGTCTTTCAACCTCTTCAGTGCTTCCCCTTTTGCTGTACCCCCCCTTCAGTCTAAACTCTCTGATCAGGTGGGTTTGAGAAAGATCCTCACCTGACAACACACTCCATTCGCCTCTTTATCCAGCCTAACATTTCAGGCTGTCGTTTTCAGCCTGTTGGAGTTCTCAGTCTTAGTCGCTCTAGCATATCGACACAGCTTGATTTCTGTTTTCTAGAATTTAACCCACCAAAGATCCTTGAGAAAAGCAAGCATTTGTTGTTTCTCAATGTGATAAACAGTATTTTTTTTTATCAGCACTTTATTCTAATCACTGCTCAATTAAGAAAAGACAGGTTAATTGATAACATATTATTATTATTATTATTATTATTATTGTTTTGACCAAATGAGTCACTCAGTTGACAGTGTTTCGGTATGTAAATCGATATGTGCACTAAAAGCATTGTGTGAAAGCTGCAAGCAGGTGTTGTTTGTCACTGTTGGTTTGGTTCTGGCAGATTTAGGCTCTTATCTTCCCGAATCTGTGTCATCTAATTTCTGTGGGAATTGTTTTGACAAAACAGGTTAGCATAAGGTGGGAGATGTCAGACAAAACAAAGACTCTTTCAATTTGTGTGCGTACGTGTGTGCATTTGCGTGTTTGTGTGTCTGTCTCTCCATGGGAAACATGTGTCAGTCATCCGCAAGGTGTTACACTGGATATGACATCATGGCCCTCTAGGGCTTGCGCTGGAAAGACGAGTTGTTTGATTCCGTGTAAAAGAACAGAGTCTGGAGCTAACTGTGAAGATTTGCTTCTATCTCAGCTGTTGTAAATGTCTTGCTAACACAAATACAGCTCACAGATGCATGTCAAAACAAATGTACTGCCTTTTTGTTCCCGTTTACGGGTCTTGAATAAAGGCACATGAGCTCTGCGGCATCTAATTGGTAATGTGTTTTATTAGGCTGCATTATTATGCAGATAATTAAGATTCAAAATGTTTACTTATTTCACAATTTGTTTTTGAGTAGGCCTAGTCAATTCTGTTTGGTCAGTCAAGCCATCCAGTGGCTTACTTCTTAATATTCATTGCTTTCCGCAGACTCGCTTTTTTTCATTTCATATTAAAAAAGGAAAATGAAACTGATGTAATCTGATTTTTTAGTTTTTTTTAGGCTCTAACTATTTCTTCAGCAATTGTTTTAAATAACACTTCTTTATTTCTTCACTAAATGCAAAATTCCTCATTCAGCCAGGAAATGGATTGAAGTATGCATTTTTTTTATTTGATGAACCTTTTAACAGTATAGTAAGTAGAATAGTTGGAACAACTGTTGGTTTTTATGTCGTTTCAAATACGCCTCATTTCTTAGTATCTGTGACTTCAAAGGTCGTATAAACTAAGGTAGTTACTTTTTTTTACAGCATTCAAACTTGTAAGTTGTAAACAATGACAGAGGTCTTATTATTAATAAATATTGTCCCAGTATTTTGTCTTGTCAACAGTTTTGTTCACTATAGAAATATAATTTTAACATTATATTAAGGTATTATAAAATAAACTATTTTTTTTTCTTTGTTGTTGTTAAGATTCAAGTTGCAGCAATTTATCAGATTCCATCGATACATTGCTAGTATTAATTCAACTGATCAGATGCATATTTTCTACTCCATGGGTGTCTTCTGATTGGCCAGTTTTAACCGCTCTTGTCAGAGTAGGTCATGTGATTGGCTCTGCCGTGTGCTGTGGGTTGGTGAGAGGCTCATGCAGTGTAGACAGGCAGATTGATGTGGGGTGGGTAAAGGCTAAGGGAACAAGACTGAAGGCCTTTGAAGTCCTGCAGGAGGGGAGTAAATTGATATATCAATTTAAGCTGCGGTGCCTATTAGAAGAGCTCCAGTCAGGTTAATGTGATAGCCCTAGCATTACCCTTCCAACCCCTTTCAGCCCTGCCCCAGTTCCCTACTCACAACACACACACACACCAACAGTACAGTGGCTGCAACAGGGCGTAAATAAAGCAGAAGAACAGTCGACCTTCTTTCTGTTTTTCTGTCTCTCACTGTGGGTGATTTAAAATCCCCGTTGCCCTTCTAATAGCCCAGTAGGATCAGAGTTAGAGGGGTTACTTTAAAGTGAGAGTCTGTGTAAGAAGTGTTGCAGAAGTTTAAGGGTGCTTTCAGTTAGGACCTTGCGATTTAGCCAAGACATTCCTTACATATGAACTTTGGAGACCCTTATACTAAATTGTGGCTGAATGAAGCTTAGTCTTAGCACGCACACACAAGCGCAGACTCTCGTTCCTCGCACATTCACCCTGAGGTGAGACGGGGATCATTCATATTTAACAGCATGCAGACACACATTTACATTAAAAATGCAGAGTGGTGTCTTTTTAATCCAGACACTGCTATATTTATTATTAAACCTTTGTCTTTGGGGTCAGATCACAAGATTTTGGTTGTCCATCAATATTACTGCTCACTCAATCAGACAGACTGTTCTGTCGCACTGCTGTAGATCTAGTTTACTCACCTTTTTTTTTTCTCAAAGTCATACAAATGTCTCACACCAGATTATCTGAAGATTATAAAGGTTCCATGCATGTGATCTAAA